ATCAGGGAATTTTCAAATTCATGAATGTGAGCCTCGCCTTAGAGAAGATGAAGACAGCCGAGCATCCCTGCGCAGTGTGGTTTAGTCCTGGTTAAATCCTGGTTTAGACCTGGTTTAGACTTGGTTCAGACTTGGTTAAATCCTGGTTTAGACCTGGTTTAGACTTGGTTCAGACTTGGTTTAGACCTGGTTTAGACCTGGTTTTAGTTCTGGTTTAGTCCTGGCTTTAATCTTGATTTCAGTCCTGGTTTAGACTTAGTTTAGACCTGGTTTTAGCTCTGGTTTAGTTCTGGTTTTAGTCTTGGTTTTAGTCCTGATGTTAGTCCTGGTTTTGTCCTAGTTTAGACTTGGTTTAGACTTGGTTTAGACCTGGTTTAGACCTGGTTTTAGTTCTGGTTTAGTCCTGGTTTTAATCTTGATTTCAGTCCTGGTTTAGACTTAGTTTAGACCTGGTTTTACTTCTGGTTTAGTCCTGGTTTTAGTCTTGATTTCAGTCCTGGTTTAGACTTAGTTTAGACCTGGTTTTACTTCTGGTTTAGTCCTGGTTTTAGTCTTGATTTCAGTCCTGGTTTAGACTTAGTTTAGACCTGGTTTTAGCTCTGGTTTAGTTCTGGTTTTAGTCTTGGTTTTAGTCCTGATGTTAGTCCTGGTTTTAGTCCTGGTCTAGTTATGGTTTGGTCCTGATTTTATTTATGGTTTAGTCCTGGTTTAGTTCTAGTTTAGACTTGGTTAGACCTGGTTTTACTTTTGGTTTAGTCCTGGTTTTAGTCCTGGTTTAGACTCGGTTTAGATCTGGTTTAGACCTGGTTTTAGTTCTGGTTTAGTCCTGGTTTAGACCTGGTTTAGTCCTGATTTTAGTCCTGGTTTAAGTTCTGGTTTACGCGAGAAGACACGATCCACGCGGCAGGCGCGGTCCACGCAGCGTAAATGAGGCAAAAAAGGTGACGCTCCAAACTATGAGTAGGTTGTCATGGCGACATAATTTTACAGCTCATACACGCACACACAATCACCGATCTCAATCCAGCTGCAGATGTGCACAGATGTCGACAGCTCCACAGTGGGAGGGCCTCACCTATTAAAAACCTCTGATTTAGATGATTTCCGCCCTGAAACTGCCAATCTCCCTGGAGCAAAAGGTAAAAGGAAACTTGATAACTACCACTGCATGACATCACAAGGTGGAACAGAGCATTTTGAGCTTTGGACATGTAGACAGACTAATAATAAATGATTACTCAAACGTGTGAATGAAACTAAACACAACTCCAGGTCTGTTTTTGATGAGGAAACATTCTAACATGGTTAAAAAATCTGTGTATCATTCGTTCATTCGTTTTTCAATATAAAACCAAAAATAAGAAAACAAAAAAACAACAGTTTTCTTCATTATTTGTCTCCAAAATCAAAATGAAAAAACGGATAACGATTTGTTTTTTCAGTTTTCGATTTTGTGTTTAAATGAAGAATGGAAAAAACGGATAACGGCCGTTTCCCGTTTACGTGACTTCCGTGACTGCGATGTCGGACTTTTGCACCGCATACGGACTGAACCGGGACTGATCCAAGTCCGAGACCAGACCGAGACCAGAGCAGGACTGAGACCGGGACCAGAGCAGGACCAGGGCGGACTCCGAGCTTTGACTCCGAGCCTCCACGGGGTCCGAGCCTCAGCTTCGAGCTCCGGTCCTGCCGTGGGCTCTGAGCCTCCGGTCTGGTCCCGGTCTGGTCCTGGTCTTGTCTCGGTCTCAGGCCCGCTCTGGTCCCAGTCTGGTCCCAGACCTGGTCCATTTGAACCAAAAGCTCTTAGTTCGATTCATTTTCATTGGTGTGAATGCGTCAGTCAGATGCTTTGCACCACCTCGGAACCAGCCGCGGTTCTTGAGCGCGGAGGACCAGAGCAGCTCTGTCCCGGTCTCAGTCCCGCTCTGGTCTCGGTCTGGTCTCGGACCTGGATCCGTCCTGATTCAGTCCGTATGCGGTGCAAAAGTCCGGCATCGCAGTCACGGAAGTCACGTAAACGGGAAACGGCCGTTATCCGTTTTTTCCATTCTTCATTTAAACACAAAATCGAAAACAGAAAAAACGAATCGTTATCCGTTTTTTCATTTTGGTTTTGGAGACAAATAGCGAAGAAAACTGTTGTTTTTTCGTTTTCTTATTTTTGGTTTTATATTGAAAAACAAATGAACGAATGATACACGGATTTTAAAAGCTCATCAGAATCAATTTTTCATAATTTACACTTCAATGGGTTAATTACTCCTAACACATAATATATTTAAATCGCCATGTTACTTTTTATTGTTTTGAAAATGCTGTATTTGCCAAAAAAACTTGTGAAACTTGTTAAATAAATTTCTTTTTCATTTTTGAGGCTCTGAGTCAAAATTCCTCAGAGTGAAAATGCTGCAGAATTTCTCACTTTGAATTTTTTAACTCCGTTTGAATCATTTTCTTTCAGAATTTCAGCAGCTTTCAAGCCTTCAAATTTCACAGTCAAAATTCAGAGAGTAAAGTTCGCAGTGAAAGATCCGAGATGCCAAGGCGAACGCAATCAGTGCGCGTGACTCAAGAGAGGCTTCATCAACTGAAATTAAAAATCAAAACAATGCAAATATGTTTTTCTGAATTACAAAATTAAATTCAATGGTGTTTCATTTTTCAAAATTTGATTAAACAAATTATCTCCCATAGTCCTCCCTTTGCTCCCCCTTCAGAGCGCAATCACGACACAATCCCGCTAATGAAACTACGGCACATCAAATCAGGTTTGTGAAGTTGTAGTGCATCGTTTTGTATCATGCTTTTGTATGTTTATGGAAAATTTTGGTGTGAGACGATGGATTTGTGGGCGGAACTTTGTACTGAATTGCACTGCTAACTTAAGGAAGGTCAGAATAGTGCCCAGAAGAGATCACGAGATTACTCAAACATGCATGGATGACATATAAAACCTCTTGAGGCGTGTTTTTGTTGGGAACAAGGTTATAACATAGTAGCTCAAAAGCTCCAAAAAGTTAATTTTGCACAATGCCACCTATATAAAAAGAAATATTTTATGATATACTATAAGCAATTGTGTTAACCCTTCCAGACCGACCATGCTTTACACGACCATGCATAACTTTCCAACCATAAAAGATAGAAACTTACATTTTTTCCCTTGAAAAGCTGACAGTTGTTAGCCTGATTCATCAGCCGGTTTCCACTGACCTTTAGGATTCGTTCGCTTGATGATAGGTAGGTACTTTTTTTATTTAAACAATCGCTGCTGTTTGGTCATGATGTACGTAATGCGCCGCTAACGGGGCTGACTGGTAAATTGAGCTTTTCCCAAATCCCGTAGGATGAAGGACAATAACGTCTTTCCCCTTGATAAAATTCACCAAACATTCTCTTTGTTCCAGTTTTAAATCCTCGATCTCGGGAATAATTGCCAACACAGAATGTCTGGCTCTTCACTGATTGGCTGGTGCCTGGACCGTCGAGTGTATTCCGATTCCTGACCTAGTCGCTGGAGAGAAATGAAATTGAGTGGAGGCACTAGGTGGCTGCAGCCTGACTAGCCAGTTGCAGCGTTCCGAGCATATTTCCGTTAAGTTCCGCATTATCCTACGTCACACGCACTCTGAGTGATGACGTAGGGAAAACGAGTGCCCAATAGGAACATTATTTTCTGCCAAACTCATGCGCTCCGTCCATTCTGATTGGACCAAACTTTGCCAAAGAGTGTAGTGAGTCAAAATGGTCAACTACTCTGAGCGTCTGTGTTTGTAACAATAGAAAAAGCCGCTCTACGTGCAGTTATCTCTCAAATAAATGGTAAAATGTGCATCTTGGTGTGCGTAATTGTGCATCACTTGCTATTTTTATTTGAACGGTTTATTTCAGTGAAAATGTACAAATCCAAATGTAATAAACACCATGGAAATGCAGGATGTGATGTGGCTCTGTGACCTGGACCTGACACGAGCTGTTTCCATGACAGGTCAAGTCATGAGGCCATTGCACTTTTTTTTGTTTTGTTTTGAGGACAATAAGGATTTTAAAAATTTACTTACAGACTTGATATTTTGCACTTTTGGCGCTAAGGCCCTAAATTATTATTATTATTTATTTATTTTTAATGTCCAAAAAGTTGTTTATACATGTTTGCTGTGTGTTTTGTATGAAAGAGTGTGAATTGTATTTATTTATTTATTATTTATTTATTTATCATATAAATTAAAATTATTATTATTATTATTATTATTATTATTATTATTATTATTTATTATTATTATTATTTTATTTTTTTTTTTTTTTTTTTTTTCCATTTGTATTTCTGGTCCTATAGCTTTTATTACACCCATATGACTAAACTACAGCATGCAGATTGTGAAATAACAGGTTGTACTGAAAAAAAGGATGTATAACACTTCATTAGGGGGTAAAAGGAGGAGTTTTAATAGCAAAATTAAGAAAAAATCCAGGCGAGGAAAAATGTTAACCCTTCCAGACCAATTTTAGCACATTTTAAGCAACTTAAGTCAGCGCATTCTGTTTCCTCAGTAATTCACTTTAGGAGATTTAGACTGACAACTTACCTGTCGCGTTCCCACTCCGCGGCAAACTGGTCACAAAAATACCCCCAGAGAACTCAGTAAATGTTATAACATAATCTTTTAATATCAATTTATCTACAAAATCTGTACTGACACCACTGTATTCAGTTCATCATGGAAAGTGCACTGTCACCGAAGCAAAGGAACATATAAAAATTACAAACAAACAAGACTGTACCATCGGCGAGCATAAAACGTCCAATCAATCCGCCAACGGTACTTTACTGTAGAAATTAGCAGTCAAAAAACAAGATGATTCAACTTTGATGTCATATTTCTACTACTGTCCCGTATCTGTTCTTGTTAAACATTGCACTGTGCGGTAATCCAAGTGTTCATTCAGGATATATCAGTGAAAACCGTAGCCACAAAACAGAGAATGCAAAAAAAGAAACAAAACAGTTGGGTACATTCGTTAGCCGGGTTAGCTTAGCCACAGTCCGCGTTGTACAATTGTTCGAAAATGCGCTTTTCGAGGCACGCTTCATACATCCGAGTGTTTTGCATTGTTAAAAACTCCCCCAAGCGACTGTTAACTACACAATTTCGTAGTTTCGTAATCCATGGAATTGGGTAAACGCGAGCCGAACGCCTGCAAGGAGGTCTCGATGCGCACCACCTCGCTCGGAGTCAGCTTGAGTCTGTGCCGCAAAAGACACGCGAACAGGTCCAACCTCTGCTGCCCGGGCGGCGACAAGCGGTTTATCCGATCCCGTAACTCCAAAAGCTGAAGCATGGCCGTGTCCTGAGATCCTTGCGTGTACGGGTAGTCGAGCTGCAAGATCAGATCGCGAATCGCCTCCGGGTCGAAGTTCATGCTGTAGCCGAACACCTGTATGCTGTTGATTTTCATGTACCCCAAATTCCTCGTGGGCTCCGTGACCTCCATGGGCTCGTAGTACGTGTCGTTCCCTTGCGCGTCTTGAGTTTTAATCCGGCTCCGTAGGTAAATGTGGATGGTCTCGAAAAAGGTCTTCCACTTATTCCCGAGCGTCAGAGTCCAGTTGTAGCATTCGAAAGGTAGGTCCAGTTTCGTGGCTTGCCAGTCCGGGAATCCGTTCTCGTTGACGGGGATGTACCAGCTTTCCGAGTGGCTGCCTCCGAAGGGGTTGATGTAGAGGGTGAGGGCGGGTTCCAGGGTGCTGTTTTTGGTCAGGCAGATCTGCAGAGAGATGCCGAGGAGCATGTGGACCATGTTGGACTTGTACTTGTTGCTCTTGAGGGTGAGGAGCATCCGTTTCCTCCACGAGGGGTCGAACCAGCTGTTGAGGCGCATGTCGTTGCTGATGAAGATGGCGTGGACCTAGGAGAAAGAGACAAAAAGAACGTTAAAAGTACAGTACGTGACTTTCTGGAGGCGGCAAGTCACGGAAATCAAGATTGCACGGAAATCATACGGGTGATTTTAGTTTAAACCAAACTACGGAAAGCTCAGGTCGTTCAATCTGTGCCTGGAGATCTTCTACCAATGTGTGGTGGCCAGCGCAGATAATACTCCCTACAACTGTACAGCAACTCACTCTTATGTAACAGATAATACTCCCTACAACTGTACAACTTACCCACTGCACCAGACTATAGATGGACAGATAATACTCCCTACAACTGAACAACAACTCACCCACTGCACCAGACTATAGATGGACAGATAATACTCCCTACAACTGTACGACAATCTCACCCACTGCACCAGACTATAGACGGACAGATAATACTCCCTACAACTGAACAACAACTTACTCTTATGTAACAGATAATACTCCTTACAACTGTACAAAAACTCATCCATTGCACCAGATGATAGATGGACAGATAATACTCCCTACAACTGTACGACAACTCACCCACTGCACCAGACTATAGACGGACAGATAATACTCCCTACAACAACTCACCCAATGCATCAGACTATAGAGGGACAGATAATACTCCCTACAACTGTACGACAACTCACCCACTGCACCAGACTATAGACGGACAGATAATACTCCCTACAACTGAACAACAACTTACTCTTATGTAACAGATAATACTCCTTACAACTGTACAAAAACTCATCCATTGCACCAGACTATAGACGGACAGATAATACTCCCTACAACCAACTCACCCAATGCATCAGACTATAGAGGGACAGATAATACTCCCTACAACTGTACGACAACTCATCCATTGCACCAGACGATAGATGGACAGATAATACTCCCTACAACAACTCACCCAATGCATCAGACTATAGAGGGACAGATAATACTCCCTACAACAACTCACCCAATGCATCAGACTATAGAGGGACAGATAATACTCCCTACAACTGTACGACAACTCACCCACTGCACCAGACTATAGACGGACAGATAATACTCCCTACAACTGAACAACAACTTACTCTTATGTAACAGATAATACTCCTTACAACTGTACAAAAACTCATCCATTGCACTAGATGATAGATGGACAGATAATACTCCCTACAACTGTACAAAAACTCATCCATTGCACCAGACGATAGATGGACAGATAATACTCCCTACAACTGTACGACAACTTACCCACTGCATCAGACTATAGATCAGGGGTGTCAAACTCATTTTGGTCTGGGGGCCGTATCCAACCTACTTTGATCCCAAAGGGGCCAGAAAAAACAAAAAAAAACAAAAAAAACCTCATGGCATCTATACCCCAAAAATAGTAATAAGTTGATCATTACTACTGTGATTGAAAATTGAAAATTTAAACAAACTTATAAAGACGACTGAGAAGACTGAACACAAATGTCCCCAAAAAGAAAATCATATTTCACAGATTACAAGCTGCAAGTCGTGAAATACGCAGACGAATACGGTAATCGAGCAGCAGAAAGAAAGTTTGGGGTGAGGCTGAAACTTGTGACACCGGGAGGATGCACCACGAAACTTCAATGGATTTAGTGATTTGGAGTGAGATGGAGAGTTTGTTAAACTTGTTCTGTTCTGTTGTTTATGTTACAGTTTATCTGAAGAACTGTTCATATGTGACGTTAAGTAAGTCTTTTAGTAAGTCTTTATTTATATAGTGCTTTCAACAGACATTTTTTTGTCACAAAGACACTTTACAGAGCATTACATTCAGCATTATTCATTCACACTACACCTGGTGATGGTACGATACTGTTGTAGCCCTGGGGCAGACTGACACACACACACACACACCACACACACACACACACACACACACACACACACACACACACACACACCACTTTCATATTAGAAACTGTGGGTGAAGTGTCTAGCCACTAGCACCAGTGCTGATTTCCACCTGTCGTCCCTGGGCAGGTTCATTGATTGACTGGATTTAACTGACCTTGACTATCAACTGTTCTGGAGACCTGTAGCATGTTTTGGGTTGATGGGGGGAAACCCATCCAGACACGGGGAGAAACATGCAAACTCCACACAGAAAGGCCCGGGGATCAAACTCGGAACCTTCTTGCTGTGAGGCGTGAGTGCTAGCCACTCAGCCACAGTCTGTTGTTCTCTGTTCTATTTTATTGTTATTACTAGAACTTGCCTTTCAAGATGAAATGTAGGTTCCCGGTCTCTGATTTTATGAAATAAATGTCCCCGAAAAAGTGTGACTTATATGTTTTTTCTTCTTTACGCTTTTTTTTTTTTTTTTTGGTAATATTACTTCACTTTGGTAATTCAGAGGAAGCAGCAATGTCTTCGTAGCTGCTGTGGCGTAAGAGGAAACTTGTGGCAAAGGGGCGATGAAAGGCAGGAAATGTAGCTACAGGAATCGTGCCTGATCTCAAATAAATGCCTGGTCTGTTAAGTGATTGAAACAAATAAGCGTCCCGGCTATTATTTGTTATTTTTCAGTATGTGCTCTTATACTTATTCTCATACAGCTCAAGATCGTTCTAAAGCTATTCAGGAAAGTCTCATTTCTGTCCTGTCAGTGGGACTTTTTTAGTATCAATACTTGTTCAAACGATTCTATTCTAGTTTTAATATCAAGTAGTATCAGACTTTAAATACTTTACAAACCTACTACCTATATTCAGAATCTTTTTAGTTTTCCAACAGTGCATTTGCTCATTACAATGAAGACGCAAAAGCATAAATACAGTGCGGCGAGTGCGCGTGACATTTTAGGGAGGCTCGCTCTGCAGCATGTTCAACACTCCACTGGGGACCTGTGTAATCGGCGCCATCTGTGGCCACCTGGAGTGCTGCGCCCACCATCTCAGGAGGGCCGAGACAAATCTGCTCAACCTATGTAATGATGTAATTATGCTTTCCAGTAATTTCTCGAGGTGCGTCTATTTATAGGAGAGGAAAAGCGCGGAGTCTCGGTTGGCCTCGCTCGCAGCTATTTGATGTAAACTGAAAATCTGGAGGTGGGTCTGCGAACATTTCACTGCGGTCGTCCTTCGGTCCTGGTATGTTTGATCTCGGTATCAGTGAAGAATAGGTCAAATACAGAGGACAAATTTAAATACAGCTTACCCTAAACATTACTCAACCCCTGGAGAATTTTAGTTTAAAGTCGCTATACTTGATTTTTCTCTTGCTTTAAAAACGTGAAAAACACAACTAGTTCATTTTAAACAGTTTGCAGTGGTCAAATGTTATTCCTCACGTTCCTTAGCATCTTAATTATACACCGTGATGCAGAGCTAAAAATAACTAACATTCTAACTAGTGTTGTAGTCAAGACCGCACTAATCGAGACCGAGACCAGCCCGAGACAAGACCAAGACATTCGACGGTCGGCACTTTACAGTAAACGGTCTCAAAGTGAAGAAAGTGTGTTGGATTTTTAAACCTGTTTTCCTAACTGGTGTTACAGTCTTTTACTGGTTTTGCGGGTCAGAGTCCCAGCACCTTCAAGACCGAGACAAGACCGAGTCCGAGCGCCATCAAGACTGAGACAAGACCGAGTCCAAGCGCCTTCAAGACTGAGACAAGACCGAGTCCAAGCGCCTTCAAGACCGAGACAAGACCGAGTCCAAGTGTCTTCAAGACAAGACAAGACCGAGTCCAAGTGTCTTCAAGACCGAGACAAGACCGAGTCCAAGTGTCTTCAAGACGAGACAAGACCGAGTCCAAGTGTCTTCAAGACCGAGACAAGACTGAGTCCAAGTCTTCAAGACCGAGTCGAGACAAGACCGAGTCCAAGTGTCTTCAAGACCGAGACAAGACCGAGTCCAAGTGTTCAAGACCGAGACAAGACCGAGTCCAAGTGTCTTTCAAGACGAGACAAGACCGAGTCCAAGTCAAGACCGAGACAGACCGAGTCCAAGTGTCTTCAAGACCGAGACAAGACCGAGTCCAAGTGTCTTCAAGACAAGACAAGACCGAGTCCAAGTGTTTCAAGACCGAGACAAGACCGAGTCCAAGTCAAGACCAAGACCGTCAAGTCTTTAAGACCGAGACAAGACCGACCAAGTGTCTTCAAGACAAGACAAGACCGAGTCCGAGCGCCATCAAGACTGAGACAAGCGAGTCCAATTCAAGACGAGACAAGACCGAGTCCAAGTCAAGACCGAGACAAGACCGAGTCAAGACTGAGACAAGAGTGAGTCCAAGCGCCTTCAAGACCGAGACAAGAGAGTCCAAGCCTTCAAGACCGAGACAAGACCGAGTCCAAGTGTCTTCAAGACAAGACAAGACCGAGTCCAAGTGTCTTCAAGACCGAGACAAGACCGAGTCCAAGTGTCTTCAAGACCGAGACAAGACCGAGTCCAAGTGTCTTCAAGACCGAGACAAGACCGAGTCCAAGTGTCTTCAAGACCGAGACAAGACCGAGTCCAAGTGTCTTCAAGACCGAGACAAGACCGAGTCCAAGTGTCTTCAAGACCGAGACAAGACCGAGTCCAAGTGTCTCAAGAAGACAAGACCCAAGTCTTCAAGACGAGACAAGACCGAGTCCAAGTGTCTTCAAGACCGAGACAAGACCGAGTCCAAGTGTCTTCAAGACCGAGACTTCAAGACAAGACAAGACCAAGTCCAGACACCTTTAACACTGAAACAAGGCCGAGTCCAAGGGTCTTCAAGACCAAGACAAGAGCAAGTCCAAACACCTTCAAGACCAAGACAAGACCGAGTCCAAGCGCCTTTAAGACAGAGACAAGACCGAGTCTAAGCGGCTTCAAGACCAAGACAAGACCGATAGCAAATACGCTCAAGTCCGAGACGAGACCAAGACCGTAAAAAAAAAAAAAAAAAAAACTGTTTAAAGACTAAGACCGGTCTTGAGTACAATGACACTAATGCTAACCATGCACTTCCTGCTGATCAGAAAATAAAATGCTTT